CTAGTGACTGGTGTTGAGACTGGTCTTGTGACTGGTCTAGTGACTGGTGTTGAGACTGGTTTTGTGACTGGTCTTGTGACTGGCCTTGCGACTGGTGTTGTGAGTGTGTTTTTGGCTGGTCTTGTGACTGGTCTTGTGTCTGATCCCGCGATGGTCTTGACCATAATACAGGCACAAGTAAATAGTCCTTGTTTTTTAAATTTCCATTTACAGGTCAAAGCGGGGAGGTGACTGGTGGTTTAGATGGCGTTGGACTGGCCATGATCATTGTCTCGGCCATCGTATGCATGGTGCTAGTTGTGGCCCTCGGCGCGGCTGTGTCCACGTCCTACTTCAAGAACAAGAGACGCAGCATGAGCTTGGATGCCAACGACCCCAACGTCATCATGAGATTCAGCGATGTAAGAAATGACCACAAGAAATCCTTGCTCCAATCTAATATAAGAATTTAAAAAGATGTCACGCTTGCTTTTAAACAGTGACTGACATTCCATTTTAAGTTGAAATTGGAGTTAGAAAGACTTTGGGTAGAAAAATTCTTTTGATTGCGGAAACCATTTCAGAAAGTAGACATGTCAAATCGTTTATCGAGATAGGAGGAGTCAGGTGGACTGAGTAGTACTTTTCTCGTCTCCCATCGTTGTGACTCGGTTTTAAATCCCAACCTCTTCTCCTCCCTCCTCTGAAACGGAGTGCTTCTTTGTTGTCTTACATGGTCATTATCTTCAGGCTTTGTGAGGCACTGCGCGTTAGGCATTTATCAGTAATCCGTAATTTTTCTCTTGTCAGCAAGAAGGACTATTAAGAAGGAAGAAATTGTCAGTTTTGATCCTCCTGTGTGCGGTTGGAATGATCTTATTTGGTTATTAGCCAAACAGTGGATGGAGCTTTCTGTTTGTTTCCTGCGCAGTTGCTACGACAACGGTCACTCTCCAATGAATACGATGACGGCACAGGTCAGACGCTGCTGTCCCCTCTGGCTATGCCGGCCCCCCTCTCCCCAAACTCCACTTTCTTCCCCGCCTCCCCCACCTCCCCCCAATCGCCCGGAATCCCCGCCTACTGGTACATCCCCTGGGCCAGCATTGTCATGGAGGACATGGTAATCGCCGAGGGCAACTTTGGCCAGGTGGTCAAGGCGGTCATCAAGAAGGAGGGCGTGGCCCTGGAGGCGGCAGTCAAGACACTGAAAGGTAAGGAACAGGCGACATTGCACACCCTCAAGGACAACAGCCCCAAACACAGACCCCGTATCACACAGCAGTCCAAACAACAAATTGATGTATTGCTGTAAGACCGCGTCAACGCAGCTTGCCCGATTCTAAAAAAATGAAATAGACGCAAGACGTACTAAATCTTAGACAAAAAATTCATCCCACAACATTCCATTGGGTTGTCTCAGGGGCGAAGCTAACTCACAAATGGGGATAAGTACCCTCTGAAGTAGAAATGCCTTCAGCTTCTTTGAATTTTGCAGGCCTCTTTGCTTATCACGATGCCCCAGATTCAAGTTGAGGTTGACATCCGTAATCACATTCCTGCTAACTTTAAACACTTGGATAACCAATTCCTTTGTTCACTCGCTGACGCACGTCTTGGTGATGACCGAAATGACGACTTTTAATTTGAAGTAAATTTTTTTCAATCTAATGTGAAGTTCACTTTTGTAAAACTGCTTGCCGATTCAGCCCCCCTTCGCCGGCTGCCACTGAACGTTTTGAATAAACCAGTAAATCAGTCCAGAGTAGAGATTAGTTTTGTTATCGGATACCTTTTAGTCTCCCCTGCCCCCCCAATGAAAACAGAATCTGCTCATATCCCTGGTTCTTGTTTTTTTAGCTGGTGCTACCGAGTCTGATCGGCGAGATTTCATGGGTGAGCTGGAGATCATGTGTAAGGTTGGCAACCATTCCAACATCGTCAACCTTATCGGGGCAACTGAGCACATGGGTAAAGACCAGTCTTCAAAGATTCAATTTTGAACTTTTTGAAATATCGAAGCCAGACTATTTCTGATGTTGGAAATGAGGCAAAAAGTTCAACCCCCCCAGAAAAATCAACGGACAGGATTGTTGTCAGTTTTTGCAGAGTTTAGTGATATTTCTAAAATGCCTTTTGAGAAAATGACGGAGAAAGCTTTTTGTTGTAATGCAGACGTGAATGTTGTGAAATTCTTTCAGATGCATAACAAAGTTACTTCCAAATTGATGAGTTTTACCTTGGCTGTAATCGGTACAGCGCCCTCTAGTGTTTTGTGCGCAGGCTCATTGTGACTGACAGTCCATCGTCGTATTTCTTTTTACAGGCATACTGTATGTAGCCACGGAGTTCGCTAAGCACGGGAACCTGCTCAACTTCCTAAGGCAGAGTCGGTCACAGGAGATGGGGTACCAGGTCTACAGCAATCACACTGGGGCGTGCGGCGGCGGGGCCGGGGCTGGACCCGGGGAAGAGGGCGGCTTCACCTCGGAGCAACTGCTGGGATTTGCCGTGGATGTGGCCAGGGGCATGCAACATCTGTCTGAGAAAGGGGTAAGTCGATGATGCTAAACCCCCCCCCATTGCCGATGTTGATTTGTCAGGTGGACGGACTTTGGTAATCCACCTTGCCTTGGTGCTAGTTGCCTGACGGCAATCTGCATTGTCAATGACTGTGTGAGGACAGTGCTGTTTTAATTCCAACTTGCCAAGGTGCTGTTTCTAGATATGCACCTGCTGCAGTTGTGGTTCCTGTTAGTGCCTTGCGTGCTGCTCCAATGTGCCTGCAGTGGCAACAGAACTAGGCAGCTGGAACTAGACTGCTGCAGCCCGCAGCAGCCATGCAGTGCTTCTAACTGCTGATGCTGTTACACGCTGTAGCCGTCTTTGTTGCTGCTACACGTTCTTCCTCTGCTGTTGCACTGTTAAATTATCGCCCTGCTGCCGACATATTCATTTTATTTTAGTTAGATTTCTTCCCTTGCTGAATGTCGTCCTTATGGAGTTTAATAGTTTCCTGAAATATAATGTTTGCAGCTTTGGATTTCTGAATAACACTTTGCCTTACCGCGCATTGAAGCAGTTCTCATTTTCTGTCTCTTCTCACGTTTTGTGTATACTTTTCGCCTGTCTCTGCAGTGTGTTCACCGTGACCTGGCCGCGCGTAACGTTCTGGTCTGTGAAAACCTGGTGTGCAAGGTGACGGACTTTGGCTTGTCTCGCAGTGACGAGGTCTACGTCAAGACCACGGCGGTAAGTTCAACAAGTCCCAGGCTTGACCCAAGACCTCTGTGAATAGGATCGTGAGCCCATTGTAGCGATTTTTTTTTCTAATGGGTTTATTTCCTGATTTGGTGTTGCACTGAGCTCTGCACTCATTTACAAACATTTGCCTCCTCTTTTTCAGTAAAAATTGAAAATTTCCTTGCCATTCGAACCCCTTTTTGAGACTTTTTCTGGTTGGTTCGCAGGGGAGACTTCCGGTGCGCTGGATGGCAATTGAATCTCTCAACTACAGCGTTTACACGACCAAAAGTGACGTGTAAGTAAATCCCACATGCCTAATCCTTTGTGTTGAAGTTTCCAATGGGCATCAGGCCCCACGTAAAGTGACAGCGGCTGAGTCCCACTTGTCTCAATCTTGCAAAATCCTCCCAAAACCTGGTGGATTTTGAAGAATTGTTGAAATGAATTTTGAAAATGTTTGAAATGTATGCCCAGTCATGAAGGGCCTGGGAATGTGAGCTTGGAAGATTAAGCAGCAGACGGCAGCTTTTGTGAGAATAATCGTTACAAAGTACACCCGACTGACTCGGTGACCTTGCAGCATTACTTCGTATGGATGGATTATAGACAAGAGTTGTAATTCACTCGCAAACAGGACTACTTCAAGTGAGGTTAAGCAATATGACGTGGACAGACAGTCCTTTGTCCTGAACTGTGACTGCGAATTCTGTTCTTGAACTTAACCAGATTGGTTTCTTTTGTGGATCTTATCTTTTCTGTCTTGCAGGTGGTCCTTCGGAATCCTGTTGTGGGAAATTGTTTCCCTGGGTAAGTCATCAGAATTCTTTCCCTTCCATTCTGGGACGTGCAAAATTTGAAGAAGTCAGAGTAAAATGGCCACATGTCTTCAACTGTGTTTTGAATTTAATTTCATTTTTGATATGTCTGTGGTTTTGGTCATTCATTCCTTAAGCACACGAGCTGTTATATACAATCATTATGGAAACCTCCTTTAAGCTGTGGCGTTTTTCAAATGTAGATATCATAAGCTTTATACTGTAGAGTCCACCAAGCCTGATCCAGCCCAGTGTGTTCTCAGCGGAATGTACGTCTTTCAGTTCATATTTTGAATTGGATGTTAATACAGGTGCTACTCCGTACCCAGGCATGTCCTGCGCTGAGCTGTATGAACGTCTGCCCCTGGGCTATCGTATGGAGGCCCCCCTCAACTGCGAAGAGGAAGTGTGAGTGTCGTTTCCCCGTTGCTCTTCGGCTTGAGGCGTGCTCAAGTTTTGTTCAGGGTTTTTTGGGGGGGGGTCAGCGGTTGTAACGCAAAGTACCGTGACCTCTTGAAGTAGCATTGAAGTTAAGACCCTGCAGGTAGTTCTGCAGATTATCGGTTAGAGTCCAACCTGTTGGTTTGTCCCTGAGCAAGGCTTTTTGTCACAATTTGCTGTTCCCTATCCCGGAGTAACTTGTGAGTTGCCATGACGGTGTATGAATCGGCCATATACATTTAAACGGCAACACAGGGTTGTATGTTGCTGGGGTTACGACATAATTCAAAGAATTCTTTATTGGCTTGATGACAAGGGGTAATAATGATATGCACGTACATGTATCTTCTTCATTTTCACCACGTAGGAATCTGTGCAGGTTGGTAGTACATATCATGATTTTTAAATGAGGGTTCGAATCCAACTCGAAGACAAGGGAACTTACCTGTAACACTGATTGAGACGTTGAAGTGCCAAGTTATCTTTTTTCACTGTAGTGGTAGATTTGTGAACGGTAGGTTCGAACCCCACCAGGTGCGATCATGCAGGTACTTAATCACGAAGTACCCAACAACTTGCTGCAGAACACTTGAAAGTGTCTCTGCCGTGTTCCACATAACGTCGTGTGAGCATTGCTTTTACCTTTTCCCCCGTTTGGTCCTTGTTAGCCAGGTCACTGCCCGGAAGTGACCAGCATGGAATTCCGACGCTCGGTTAGCAGTGCCAGCAGTGGGCCTGTTCTAACAGAGAAGACTTCTCTTGGTTTCTGTAACAGGTACAACATAATGCGTCACTGCTGGAGGGATCGTCCCCACGACAGACCAACCTTTGAACAACTCAACATTGCCCTGACTAAGCTAGCGGACGCCCACAAGGTAAGCCACACTCGACTGTGGTAGGCTGGTGTAAAATTGTTTGTCATAGTGTTGCCCATGACTTTCCCCCCTCCCTCGGAACAAATGATACCTGTGAACCCCTAGAAATAATTTATTCATTTATTCATTCATTTGCGTATTCATAATATGCGTCCTTCTCTTTTGACAGCCCTATGTGAACACCGAACTTCTCCGTCGCAGCAATTTTGAATTCGCCCCTATCATCAGTTCAGGGGAGCACATGATTCGCCCCTCGACCCCAGTGTGATGCAGCAACAACCAGAAGCCAGCCAAACCCAGGATCCTTCAGCTGGCAATCAGTGATTTGACTAGTCTTAAACTCGAGGCGTTTGGAAGAGACAGCTGTCAGAACAGAAGACAAGTATTACACGTTATCTTTAGGTCATGCAAAGGAATCTGGGACATACAAAGGATATACGGTTTTGATAGTAGACATGGTTAACACTCCTCTGTGTTCCACATGTTGAGTGCATTTTGTGATGGAGGCAACAAAACTTAAAGTTTACATGTTGAGCTTGCCAGACGGATGGCCTTGATGCTTAGCTGGCCTTAATGGACAGGTGGCTTTAACAGATAGGCGGCCTTAGGAGACAGGTGGCCTCAGTGGGGAATTGGCTTCGGTAGAGATGGCCTCAGTGGACAGACCGCCTCAGAAATTGCCTCAATGCATGGGTGGCCTTAATGTAAATTTGGCCTCCGTGCAAAGGTGGCCTCAGTGGACAGATAGCATGAGTTGAGATTGCCTCAATGGATGGGCAGCCTTAATGTAAAGTTGGCCACAGTGTGAAAGTGGCCACAGTGGACAGACAGCCTCAGTTGAAATTGCCTCAATGGATGGGCAGCCTTAATGTAAAGTTGGCCACAGTGTGAAAGTGGCCACAGTGGACAGATNGATGTAAAGTTGGCCTCAGTGTGAAAGTGGCCTCAGTGGACAGATAGCCTGAGTTGAGATTGTCTCAATGGATGGGCAGCCTTAATGTAAAGTTGGCCACAGTGTGAAAGTGGCTACAGTTGACACATGGCCCCAATGGACAGGTCACCTCAAATGCTCTAACAGACTCAGTAAACAGGTTGGCTTTTTGGAAACATGGCCCCCGCAGATAGCTTGCCACAACAGGACAGGTGTTCCACGGTGTACATAAGCTAGAGTGGACAGTCTACCGGACCATACCTGACCAAAGCATTCCAATGTTTTGCTGCTCATCAGTACTTTCATGAAAGCCAGGACAAAGGTTGAGATTTCTCGTTGAATGGATCACAACTTTTTTCTTTGAAATCATACACACTCCTAACCTTGTCTCTGTGGACAATGAGGGTTAAATCTTCCAAGCTGAAGAGCTGAGCCTTCTTCGAAGTTTAAATTTTGCCATAAAATTGTTCAAATTTCGACTTCATTTGCATCAGATGATGTACTTTTGCCTTGCACCGCTCCGTCTTGCCAGCTCAGAAAAGCTTTTCTGTGTCTGCAACCGATTTTTGACATTGGGCAATGGGGGCGCTGTGCCACCGACCAGTCATCTAATTAGTATGAGGGTGAAAGGGGTGTAAGGAATAATTAAATCAACCAAAAACTAAGACACAATGAAAGAGAAACCGAGAAAATGTAAACATGATTGAGACGGAACGAACAAGCTTCCAGGAGAAATTACGCCAACATATTTGATAGTACCTTGCCTTTGTAAATATGATGTAATTAATTGTGATTTTTCTCAACCTTCCGTGGGTATCTCGCATAGACTTACATGAATTTTGAAATCTGTGTGTGCTATCTTAACCCCTAAATTAAGTATCAATAGGAGCCACCTTGACATCCCGTCCTGAGGTATAAGCGGACTTTGTGCCAATATCAAAGTGTGTGATAGGTAATGTTAACATTGTTTCCTCGTTAATTGTACTGTATTTTAAATCAACGTAACACCTCTCGCCAAGACGTGATAAAATTGGAAAGCGACTCTGAATCACTACACTTCTGCACGTCTTTGAACATCGCCTCTCAACATCATTATTTGTAAATACAGGTATGGATTTTCCTGAACGGGGCCATGCATGGCAAGGATGTAAGGTGTAATTGGGTCATTCTATAAATTTGGGGTCCCAAGTCTGACATTTTTCCGTCCCTGTTACCTCTGACATGTATACCATCTGACGTGTTTGACGAGGGATGTATCACTGACATTGATTTCAAACTATTTTCATTTGTTTGGAAGGTAATTTTCAGTACTTATTCAGTCTTGGAAATTAAACAATAAGTTCTAAACATTAGAAATCATGTGCCAGACGTAACAGGGACGGAAAAAAAATTGGTCCCCAAATTGATAGAATGACCCAATTGTCATAAACTGAGTCTCCTATCGCGTAAAATGCAACCTTGATTCCATCCGGCAATCTTATCATTGTAAAATAATTATACCGTATGTTGCAATCAGTTTTGTAGATGTAAATGTACATTTTGAAATTGAAAAAAAAGTACTGTTGGGTTGTTCTTAGTATGCCTAATAAGAAACTTTTGATGTGGTTTAGTCGGCAGTTCCTGTGGACTGAATTGAACTGTGAATTTCCATATTCTGTTCCATGAGCGTCACGTCGAAATTTTTTTCTAGAGAAGTTTACCTGGCTTCCATGGCACCGTCTGATTAATGTGGACACTCTAGATTTTAATCAAAATTTATGAAATCAAACTTAAATCAAAAATTTATGTTTTTTCCGTCTCAGAAACATGGAATTCAATGACATCTCGTAAGCAAGGGAGTCGATACCAGCCTATTCGATTCAGTGTTTCCGAGATTTATGAACATTGAATTTCAAGTTTGGAAGATACGTCGAATCGTCGAATTCTGTGTTCGGGATAGTCGATCGTTTGACAGTAATTTTATGCAATGTAAGTTTCGACGAGTACTTTTTTAAGTAAAGCGAAAACGAATGGTCATCTACTCGCCTTTGTTATATACAAGTGTAGGCCTATACTGTGTCTTTATTATTGTAGCTATCGTAACGTATTGTAACGTAAACTTTAATGTACAGATAGTTAAGTTGCATCTTTGTACATTGCAAAAATAAAGAAAATGGTGCTTCAACTTGCCTTGAGATAAAATATCAACATTAGTATTAAAAGTAATTAGGCTAATATTTCATACAGTGAACTTATCTATGGTTTTATAAGGTTCTCCGTAAAAGAATGTTGGAATATTACTCGTTAACCGTAATAACTGTTATTGTTACCTGTAAAAGCACAGTCGAACCTCGTTAATAAGAGGTCCTTTGGACTTGGCAAATTACCTTGTTATAACACGAACCTTGTATCATCAGGAATGAAAACAGTGAAAACGAAAGGATTGGGACCTAACAATTTCCTTGTCTTAAGCAGAATCTTGTATTAACAGTGATCTTATTAACGAGGTTCAACTGTACTGTAGGCTAAGTAGTTCTAGAACATTATTAGTACATGCGACACTTTGTTAAAAGTGCTAAACGTGCTTTGTGTTAAGGGTAAGCGTTAAGGATCGAAATGTCGACGCTCGTTTTTCATTGAGTCTTTCAACAAGCAGTAACACAACGAAAATTCCAATAAATATGTAAAATTTCAAGAGTTTGTTGCGATCGTGCCCAGATTTGTCCCCTTGTGGCAGGTTTACACAGGTTATAAGTACCCGTTAATTTCCGCCCTACACCTGTGATGTCCACAATTAAGTTGACTTTAGACCCAGCAAGGACCACCCAGCCCTGTTTACATCGTTTCATACCGATCTGAGGTTTTGGAGTCCAGAGACTTTGGAACCGTTGTGTTATGAAGAACGATTGCCTCAGTGTCTTGTAACATAATTATGTTTTCCGTTCTCCCCTGTCTTGGTGCTGTTAACAGAAATTACGAACACCCCTGGGTGGTGGAGAGCTCCCCTTTAACCACTTCATGCACTGTAGTCCGACGACGCCCCCAGACACAAAGCTCACCGCGGAACGAGCACAGGCAAGCAGGGAGAGAAGCATTCTCTCACTGTCCAAAAAGTTGGGGCTGCGGCTGGAAATAGCGCGTGCGCCTATGGAAGCCACAGCCGCAGCTACTTGCAATAGAAAGCATATTGATTGCAGCCATGCAATACACTTCTCTTCCTCGCTCCCCAGCCACTCCCCGTCTTCAAGCTCTCCAGCAGCGACCTCCAGCCTAGAGGGCGGTCTCCTCTCGAGTGGTCACGAAGGGTTTGATGGTAATTGTGTTCGGTCGTGACGTGATGAGAGCCAACGCCTTGCTGCTAATAAACCTCTCCCACGTGATCATTCTACAAGAGAGAAGTGAAGAACCAGCCCAGTGACTTCCTTTTTTTCTTTAAAGTTGACGGACTGTTCCGCCAAGCCTGTCAATTATTTGCAAGCTACATCACAGGTAGGTTGAAATATTCCAATTTAATGAAATCGCTATGTGCATTTAAACTACTGCACTGTGACTTGATCTCGTTTCTATTACAATGCATGTGGTAACGTTCTTACTTGTTGCATTCATCTGACCAGCTGGATTTCTCAAAAGAATGCATCATCTCTTCTGTCTCGTGCAGTCTGCGGATGCATGAAAGACAGGGGAAAAAAACCCGAGTTGCGATTAACCATGAAAGGAAGGCATTCCTGAAACTTCATTGAAATCTAACATAAGGAAATAAGATATGCATCACTGAATATGAACAATTAGCAGAGCACCTCGTAAAGGCAATAGGCGTCCTCTATACTAGAACATCCTCATCACTTGGCTTTACCCATACTTTCACCTACCCGAGAGCGCGAAGCCAGCCCCGGTACGCCTGCTCTGATTCACCCACTGTCACCAGACCGACGTTGCGCTTGTCGGACATCCTGAAGAAGCTCCTGAGTTTTGCGATTTCCTTGGGCTTGAGGTATTCTAGAAGTTTATTCTGTGGTAAATTAATTTCAAAATAGATACGGGCGTTTCACAAAAGTGCGCCTCCAAGAGTCTGCAATGCGTTGACCAACCATGGTGTGCGAAATCTGTCGACCCAATGCGCGTTTGGAAAGGGTCGACACATTTCGCGTACTGTGATTGGTCAACGCGTAGCGAACTCTTGGAGGCGCACTGCTGTGAATCACCCGTACTGCAGGAATGTCATGACTCTGTCCTTAAATAATATCAACTTCCCTTGTTTTGGATTTCTCCAGCCCAAGGAACCATTGAGAATTTCATATCTTCCATCGCTGTACTTTATTGGTACGTATGTTAGGGTGGTTAGTTCGGCTGAATATCTTTGTTTCTGTCTGGACGAATAAGTGTCAAGCCTTAGAATACGTCTCCTTACCTGCGGCTGTCGCTGCAGCCACTTTATCGTCTCCACCATGGAATAGTCCCACCAGGAAACAGAGCCGTCGTTGTCGCGGTCATACGTTCGAAACTATCGTGAGAGTATAACGACAAGAGGGGACATCATTTCTTTGCCATGGGCACACTGCACTCCATGGCGAAGGTGACGAGAAAAGAAGCTCTTAGTGTTAACGACATGTGGACAATTTAGCTTTGATCGCGTCTATTTGGTCACGTGCGTTGCTGTCGGCCTAGGATGCGGCCAAAGTTATCGTCGCACCCATTATGAATCTATTATCTGCCCTGCAAGATGGCCACCACGCAAAGCCTCTGTTGCACATGACCATCAATATACTCCTAGAAATCGAAGCTGGTTGATTTGCTAAGTGGGGAATCTTACCATTTCTTCGCATTCCCTAGCCTTTGAACTTGGCAAGGACTCGTTGTTTTTCTGTTGATAGTTTATGGTCTCGTGTTCCATGTAGTCAGTTATATTGATAACAGAATCTACAAAACAATTAATACACGTACTTGAAGTTTTCGTGATGGTACTTCTGAGATATAAAATCATTGGAGGGGATAAATAAATATCCACTCGTCTAAAGTGGATATTTACCCATTCCAATGATTTATAACAATGGGTCATTGTAAAAAAACACAGGTGGATGCGATTTCACTTCAAATGAGTGGACAAATTATCCTCCACATCGCTCTTGAGTGGATTTTCTCTGTCTCTATGACAAAGAGAAGAGGGATTCTCTTAAAGTACTCCATACTCTCAAGAGGAATCCAGTGGAACTTTTAATTTCTCATTTCTGACTCGATTTCGTTTGTGTTACCTCCATCAGCGTCGTAGCTGTCAAATTGAATCATGAGCTCGCTCATGTTGTCCATGGGGAGAAGTTCGCTCAGAGTTTCCTGAAAGTTTTCAATGGATCAGAGACAAGCTCAAAATTGCTTGTAAATTACAGGATGATGTAGGAAACTAGTACGCAACTCGCCCCCCAAAAAGGACACGCCCCTCACTAAATGGTGCGTCATAAACCCAGTCATTATCTTTTGAAAAATTGGAGGGAATTTGCCCTATTTGGAACGGAACAAAAGAAAAAGAAATATGGCTTCCTATCTTAACGCAATCTTACGCCTTCTTTACTCTTGTTTTTCAGAAAACATAACGCTTAACAAACAACAATATGCACAAAGAATACTTTGACAATAATCAAAGCCAGCCAAAACAGTGAAAAGAGACAGACTTTACAAACATTCGAGAAATCGAGAAAAGAGTTTAGACCTAACAAATAAATTCATTGGTATGACAGATGAAGATATATCTGTGACATCCATATTCCAGTCTGGTCAATAATTTCTTTCAAGTAGGCCTTTTATTTGAATTCGCTCCTGTTGGAATATGAACTCACGCAATCAGGGCAACTCCAGCCGATATCGCTTTCCGCGTTCTCCATAGCACGGGACGAGTTGGTGTCAAGCCCCAGTCCCCGACCAATAAGGCAGCCATGGTGATACGGCTGGCCGCACACCCGACAGAGGAGCGTCGTGTCCCGCTTGTACATGGTGCAGATCGCGCACTGGTCCTCTGTCTCGCTCTAGAAGTGTCGGAACAACGGAAGGTGTTCCGATTGAGCGAAGCGATGAAAGGGGAGGAAGTAATACAGGAGACGGTGAGTATTACTCGATCTGTTTGTCTGCAACTTATGAAAAATAACGTCACTTTAATTCAACACTAGGATTTCTTGGGAAAAGTGAGTGATTTTGGACACCAAAGGGGTCACAGTGTTCCTGAAATGAACTTTGTGGAAGTACGCCTAGGCCAGAAAATACAGTTTGCTACACTGCAAGTTCATAGTTAGAACGATGGATTGGGCACCGTGGTGGTGACTTCTCTTTTTCAGGTAGCCTAGGCCTACCAATTTGTGCAAAACTGAAATTTTTCGCCTTTTTTTACTTGGCAATAAACAAAAATGATCTCAGTGATTCAATTATTCTGGGTAAAAAAGTAGGCTACACAACAAAATACCTGCGGCAGTTCGGCGTCGTATTTCAGCTTGCCCTCCGGATCGTGGAAATCCAGCGCCCGCAACTCCTCCTCGCGAGTCAGTCTGGCATTGTACTCTTCCGGCGGCTCGGACAGCGTCTCCGTCGGCGGTGGCAAGAGCCCCAGTCTAGACCTGCGCGATGTTTGGAGATTAACTCGAGATCTCGTTTTGTGAATGACTAATAAACTGGTTTCAACGACCCCCACTTGTTCCACTAATGACCCTACCTTTTCGAGAAAGCCTTGGACCAGGCCGACGACGCGTGATGACCCTGCACGGCCCCGTCGGTCCTTGCGCTCGGCCGCATAGCACTGATTATCATGCTCAGCCTTCCGACTCGCTTCGCCTGCTTCGTTGCTTCGCCCACGTCCACCTCCAAATCTTCCTCCACCTCAAATCGCTTCTTTTTGGTCACAACTGTGCCCATCTTTACGCCTAATAAGTTCCAGAAATTTTTGCCCGAGGCTACGACAAACTTGCAGTCTTTAAATTAGGGCATATAGCGCGCATCAGTCGTGTCGCACTATCGTACATTGTTAAGCGTCGCGTTATGTGGATCAAGCTTACTGGAAAGTTTATTTTGAGCGCGAGCGTTTATTCAAAGAATAAAAACACGCGCAATGCGACTGAACGCACAACGGCCACCATAAAATAACTAATTATTCATATTTTAAAATTATTAGTATTTTTTATTCGACATTCTACACAATTATAACACAAGAACAAACCATGTATTTTACAAGAACAAAAATGACAATGACACGTACAAGTAGACACAGCAAAATACATTTCAAATACTCAAGGCTGTCAACAAATGCCAGGAAAGGGAAAAGTTAGCTTAATAGCTGTGACTCAAGGGCCATTTCCAATGCTACTACCGTACAGATACATATAGGGCCTATATACGTATTCATGCATATAAAATGGTTATTTATTTATATTCATTAATAATAAAAAGTCAACGTATATGGCAAAAATAGTGACAAAAATAATGAAACTATAAATGGGATAATTGATAATTACCTTATTACAAAAATAAAAGATTACTAAAACAAGAGGAAAAAATCAATACAAATGTAAAATCTCCTTTGTATAAAAACAATACCGTGACCCTGTAAATAAAACTTAACAAGGTGGAGTATGTGTAGATTGCATTATCAATCATTGAAGGATTAATAATAACTTGAAAGTAATCAATATATTTGGAGGGTTACGTGGGAACAACATAAGTGGGAATTAGTCAATATCGTACAAGAGTTGGTCCTTAATGAGTGATCCAATGTTTGAATGGCATCTCAACCATCTCAGTTCTCAGACTTTCTGGCAGTTCTTCCCCGTAACGGGCAAAGACATTGTGCTTGATGTGGGAGAGTCCCCGTTGGGGTATTAAAATCAAGAGAGATTGTGTCTTAATGCGGCCGTTTCACAATAGTGCGCCACCAAGAGTTTGCAACGCGTTGGCCAATCACAATGCACGAAATTTGTCGACCCGATGCGCGTTTGGAAAGGCGTCGGCAAATTTTGCGCGTTTTGATTGGCCAACGCATTGCAAACTCTAGGTGGCGCACTTTTGTGAATCGCCCGCATAATTAATGTGACTGCCAGGTACGTGTTAAATTATTCCACTGGAGGGGCCGGCCGGGAATAAGGCGGAATTAAAAACTTGTTACTCATGTAATTATATCTGAAATACTGAGAAGGAACCAACGAGACTATATTAAATCGACTAAATGCGTGATTCTATGTCAGGACTCACCTTCGCTGAAGGGGTGACAGTTCATATCTTACAGACGGTAGACCCAAGTTATTATGACCCCTGATTACTTTGCTCAACCCCAACAAGGGTGAGGGGTGTGGTCGGTTCGGTCAACTGACATGGAAATGCACAGAGCCCCAGGTCGTATTCAAAACTCCCGACATGTAATTGAAACCAAAGATTGTATAAGGTAATTCGACCACCAGAATTAGAAGCCATTACTACGGTGGCACAACGCTTGCGGACAGGTGGTACGCGCGCGTTATATGCCTCTTCGACCAACAAGGTGTCGTGATTTGCCAAATGCACGCGCGCGTCAAACTTAGAATGTGCGTGTGAGTGCGGTGCCACTGTACCGCAGTTATGGCTTCTAATCGAATTAGTTTATAGCTCTTTGGACTCTCTCAAAAAAGTCACTTCCTACAGATTGCCAAGTCCATCGACATTAATTTTCGTGACACTCATCGGCTGCCCCGATTTTGAACATTATCCGGTTCGTAAGTGTGACGTCACTTCAGTTTAAACCACGCCCACTGCACATGTGTACTGAACATAGGGTTACACATGCATTGATCGCCGTTTACATTACATGGAACCATGGAACCGGAAATTAACGCGCACCTTCAGCGATCGTCCAATGAGAGCCTGCAAATCGAGGCGCATTTGCCTTTGTGACGAAGTCACTTACGAACCGGATTGGATCGGCATGCGCGGGATTTTCGAACATTTTGCACACCACTAGCGCACCCGCACCACGGACGTATATATAAAAAAATCTGGCTCGCAATGCCCTCAATCAGCTTATAGACATCATTGAATCCACTTGTAGCCATTTTACCGTGCCGAATACAAAGCTTTCCTCGCAATGCCCGCCTTTGTTCTCCCTGCCGTCAATAGAAGGGAGCCAGCCCACGCTTTTGTATTTTGCTCGGTAAAATGGCGCGCTGGTTGGCTTGTATTTCATACCATGGAGGGTGTGTTCCTTCCTCCATGTTCATAGTACAAAGGCGTTGCAAGTCCAGATTTTTTATGTACATGTACGTCCGTGACCCGCAGCTGTTTGCGCTTATATACGCAGTTACAATTTTCCTACGAAGATGGCGTCCACTGAGAGAGAGACCTATTGGCAAATTCACCCTCGGTATTGGGAATTTACGTACAGCTGAGGATTTCCAGCCATAAAATGATGTGAACCGTTTGCTGATTGAAAAAAAAAGTTATGTTCTTAATATGGTTCCTGCAACATCGTGGTATCGATCATTCAAATCTGACTGCAATCACTCAATCACGTACGGACGTGCGAGTCGTGCCGAAACTAATTTGTTGAAACCTGTGTTACCCGTACACGTGCACGAACGTACACAAACAACTTGGATGCCGCGCCTCTTTCAATACATCGGTGGGGATCGATAATAGCGCCCCCTGTAGGTTTCGATGGAGGTAGTAGACTGGATACATGCATTAGTATGAATTCATGATCAATCCTTCAGCTAACGAAAAGAGCTAAAAAAAGAAGATTTTCTCACATTTCTTTGGTTGGTGTGCACTACAGCGCCTCTCTAAGTACTCAGAACACTATAATAAGTGCTATATTGGGCTTCAATTGATATTTTGATAAATTTGACCTCATTTTAGAGGTCATACAGACACTCTCACCCACGTCAAGCCCTGACCCCACGGCTAGCTAAAAGGTACATGTGTTTTTGACCTTTGCCTACGTACGATTATTACGTGGCCAGGGAATTTCTCATTCATGTTGAGGCATCTGTGCTTGTGCATCCCGAAGGTAAGGAAGAAAATCTGGCCTTTTGAACCCCTTTCCCCTTTAAACAGTCTTTGGTTTGTTGTTCTTGTCGTCTGTATGTGTATTTTTGACTGTTTGTTTTCCTAAGTTATGGTGTTTTTGATGGTAGTCCTGCTGCCGCCTCGGCTCCGCTCGGCCTGGCTGGCTCCGCGGCCGCGTACGCCGTTGTGACGTGATCAGGTGATGGGTTTTTCGGGCGCTCCGCACGGTGTAGGCCTAGCCGCCCGAAAGAGTTAAGGAAAACGAATTTCTGTTTTGATTATCTCCAAAGCCATCACAGGGGTTGGAAAATTCTAAAATACTCCCCTATTAAAAGTGTAAAATTTATAATAAAATTATGAATGGTCATGTCTTGCTGGTTCTTTCATGGTCATGATGAAAAGAGTCCCATCTTTGTTGCAAAAGTAACTAGGCCTAGGCCTACCCCTAGAATTGTGTAGTTATAAATTCCTCTGTTTCAGAGAGGCAGAATGACGAGCCCCAAAACTTTAATGGCAAAGAACAACCAAGCATGTTGGGCTGAGTCAATTAAAATAATTCACGATTTGAATATGCGACCTTCGATTCAATCGAATATCTGATTATTCACTTTCAGTTGGAAGATTTCTTTCTTTTTTAGGCAGGCAGAAAAAGTTCCACAGTTGTTGCCATGGCAGCCAAACCGATTGTCATATTTGTTCTCGGTGCACCAGGTTCGGGCAAGGGAACACAAAGTGCGAACATCGTCAAGGTGATTCAAGATTCCTTGAGCATAGGCTAAGCTGACAAGATGGAGGGCTTTTCTTAATGGCAAAAAAAGTTGATAAACACTGGAATGTTGGGAAATTTCAGATTGCAACTAGTAAAAAGCTTTTGTTATTAATTTTCAAGTTCACATAATAATTTCTGGTCCAGTTTGATTGAGACTAATTTTTGGGTTGAATATGTACATTTATAATTGTAAATTTGTGAACAACAGAGAGTCATGGCTAAGTGTACAGTTCCCCCCTCCATAACGTAGTTAAAACATAGAAAAACGGCTTTGAAGGGATTAGGAACAGTCAGTGTTCTGCGTTCTAGCGTGCTTGCATTTGACCATTTCAAATTGATTTTTGGGTTCACATCCCTCAATCAAACTGGAACAAAATCGACTGGGAGGCCTGGAATTTAATACTTTTTATGCTAATATGAGAGATGCCATCATTGTAAACGTGTAGATCTGGGGTCACAACTGCTGTAGTGGGCTACGGGCGTGGCAGGCATCACACATTAGTAACTGTTGAGCATACAACACCTTTTGCTACTGTACTGGCACGAAGTCATTGCAACACTGCCTGCTGATTTGATGAGAAGTTTGTCTAGAAATAACTGTTTCGAAAAAAAACAGTTCTTAAAAGGATGAAACAATCGGGATGGGCGTTAAAATCCTGGCAGGCAGTGATGCGAACCTAGACTTTTATTATCGAGCATGCCCCAACCAGTGGAGTAGAAATGCTGGTGATAGTGTCCCTGTTTTAAAAAAAAAACCAAAATACTTCACCCTCATTCAGGATTGAAATCTGGTGTTTGTGCCCTCCCTTAGGAGTTTGGTTTTGTCCATCTCTCGGCTGGGGACCTTCTGCGAGCCGAACGGAATACTGGGTCGGATATCAGCACCGTTATTGAGCAGTACATCAAAGATGGCAAGATTGTTCCTGTGGAGATCACCGTAGGACTTCTAGAAAAGGTCTGAAGTCCAATCTCTCCCCTTCTTGAAAGTTTCTTTTCCTATTACAGTGGTAAAAGATGGGTTGATGGATATTTTGTGTTTTACTTAAAATTATTTGGTCCCAAACAAGCGGGTTGGGATGACAATATATCTTCTGATTTTGGCTTTCTCATTGATTCAAAAATTTGCAGATGAAAATGGTGTATTGTTGAAGTTGGTAAATTCTTTTCATCAGATTTCCTGCCGACAGTTGTAATATTAGTTATGATTATCACCTGATTGCATTCAGAGCGCTGAGGTAGTTCGGATGTTAAACAGTGCATATTCATAATGATGAAGTGTTTCTGTCGTCGTTCGGGAAGAGTCAATATATGTGTGCACATGAGATCTATGCTATCACCACGGCCATACGCCGACTCTCACTCGTACTTTGTTATCAACTGACCTTGCTGTCCGGAGATACAAATATGGCTCTTGAGATGAGATTTCATTCTAGTTTGAAAAGTACTGTCTACGAACAGATGTGTAGTGTAGTGCGCATTCATATCTATAGTTCTTTGCTGGGCAGAAAGACATTGAACTGGCGAAATCTGACAGAACATGTTGAGTTGATCCAGTAGGCAGAGTTGTAATGAACCACTCATTTGCGTGACTCGTCGAGTCATTGTTATGTAGTGACTCGAGTCGAGTCAGTGTGATGTAGTGACTTGAGTGGAGTCTAGTCACTCGGCAAAAAAGTCGAGTCGAGTCATATATTTTGCTCGAGTCAATTTGAGTCACAAATACCGTATTTACAATAATACAATAAATAAAAACAAGAGAATATTAATTTTTTGGCATTTGGAAGTTTACCTCCTGGTCGGTACATGTGGTCGCATCACATCTTCCTCTTGAGCATTATAGTCCGGCCTGTAAGCCATTGCAAATATTTTGGAAGTTCTCATGGAAGTTTGCTTTCATTTTTGGTACTCAAGTCTTCTTAACTTTCACTTGAGTCTGGTCTTCTGATGAGGGATTCAAAATGAGTCACTGACTCGTGTCATTACAACTCTGCTGGTAGTGCATTCTCGTTTGCCGTGCATTGCATTACAGGCCATGAACGCCAGCAGTGTGCAAAAATTCCTCATCGATGGATTCCCTCGCAATGAGGACAACCTCTCAGGATGGCAGAAGACCATGGACGACAAAACGGACGTGCGATTTGTTCTCTTCTTTGAATGCAGTAAAGATGCAAGTATTTGTTCTCAGTTTTTTGTTTACTGCTGAAGAAGTAATTTGAGAAGATTGTGACACGATGTGGAAGAAGCACAGATCTACAGTAATTGGATCAAATTCACTTGTTAGTCAAATCCGTTGACAATTGACCTAAACACTTTTTGTCCTTAAAGATCAGTCACATTGCTTGAATGGAAAAAGGTTATTAAACAGGTACCCATAGAATGACTAACGTGACAGCTTCTCTTTGCATTTATAAAAAAAAGTGTCATTTTTGGAGTTCAGTTCCGTTGCGAGAATGCTCGGAGTGAAAACAAAAAGGTGTCGATAAGGGTGGCAAACAAATCTTTTAACCCTAACAGTCCTCAATCCTTCACCTGTTGGAGGATTGAGGACCGTTAGGGTTAATGATGTCATAATATAGCTCTTATTACCCCAGAGTTTCTTGACCCATCTTGCCGTAATAGGGACTTTATCGCGCAAGAACAGAAGAAAGTTGGGTATAAAGTAAGTTGTCTGGGGGACCAAGAACTGAACTATGCAAGAGGCAGAAAAGCAATGTAATTAGGATTACATGGAATAGTTTGGTTGCTGCGTTGAAATAATCCCACATCCTAGCCTGGCCATGCTGTAATTGCACATTTAATTTCAAGCAAGCACAGGGCTCATGCATGAGGGCGCGTTCGCCCCAAAATAATTAAACAGTTGTATAATTGCAGAGCCGTAGTGTGACGTCAACAAAACAGGCTTCTGTTGGATGCTTCCAATGACTTTTGTTTTCACTTTGCCTGATACATGTATGAAGGAGAACTCGTGCTTTTGACGTCAGTAGCAATCTTTATTTAGTTTTTTACGTAACAAATTTATAAAAAATGAAATTATGAATTAACACTGTGACTGATCTTTAAAATAAAACAAACTTTGCTGATGCAAGCCACAAAAAGACAAAACCAGGTATCGCTTTCAAGGATTTTTTTTCACCCTCAACAGATTATACGAACCGTTTCATACGTTCATTCCCCTTTGGTTTTTTGTTGGCACAGATCCCAAAATGTTCACACCTTTTTTGGGCCTGATTTTCAATTCTTTAGGTGTGTGTTGAGAGATGTCTAGAAAGGGGAAAAACCAGTGGCAGAGATGACGACAACATAGCCAGTTTAGAAAAAAGGTTTGTGGGGTTTTTTTTCCACGCTTTGTGCTTCATTCAACTGCAAAATTTGCCCCGGTACGAGAAGTGAAACTCTACCAATTCACCCGAAGTAAGATCAAGTTGACATTTCCTTCCTTTCGTTGGCAAATTTCAGTTCCACACAAGTGTTTACTGCCTAATAGTTTCCTCCCAACTCCCGGCATTCTTGACATTATAATGTGATTCTTTCACCTAACAACATCAAGACACAAGACCCAAAGAGTGTTATCATTCTGTAATGCTCCAAACCTCGTTCCCACGGCCACTGGAGCATCATGCTACCCCTTAACTGCTCTGTCGTCAGAAAAAAAATGGTTTTAAATTAGATATATCGTGGATGGGTTCTTGGTATGGTCCGATGAATCTGTCATTCTAAAATTCAGGGCTACTTCCTGAAAAATGGAAAGACATTAACGCTCAACTGTGGGAGACAGCAGTCAATCCATACCTTGTAATTAATTAGTCACAAGGATGGAGCCAACAACAAAGGTTTTTTGTGGGGGCAGGGACAATTGGTTTTTTGGGGGGAGTAAGTGACTGAGTGTGCTTCATTTTTTGGGGGGGCAGTAAGTGTGTTTCGTTTTCAGGTAACCTTTACGGCCCTTTTGATGAGGGATACATTTTAGAGTTCATTTTACACTTCTCTATAGAGCGAAAAAAGACCAAAATCTTCTTTCTCATTAAACAAATATCCATGGCTCCTTTTTGGGGAGGGGGCGTTGTCCTTGATCCCTCACCCTGATTCATCCTTATTTGGCCAAATGAATAACATGAGCATCAATAGGAGATTAATTCATCATTTAAAACACACTTTGTGAGTGAAATTTTAATTGTAATGAAGTTCTAGTGAATGACTTAGTGCCTTGTTGTGAAATTCTTGATCCGTTCTGCCCTTTCTCCTGCTCGTAGGTTTGTGACCTATGTTGACCACACCAAGCCAATCATTGATCAGTATGACGAGAAAGGCATGGTTAGGACGATCAATGCGGATGTTGGCATCGATCAGGTGAGACCAAGAGAACAAGTCCACTTTCCTCATTCGTGCGCACGCTGCGCACTGCTGATTACATAATCCACCAGCGAGAGAAGCAGTTGCGATAAACCGTCTTGCTTAGGGACAATTACAGTTGGCCACTCTCACCACTGAGCCACAGTACAAGGTGTCTCGGCCGCGAAGGTACATTTCTACACATGTCTGCGAAATGAAAACATGCCCTCAGTACTGTAGATGAGAATTTATGCCGACAAGAATTTATGCGGACTTTGTCAACGGAACGTAACCCCTCCAGCTTCCGCCAGCTGCAGAGGATAAGTAAACACCAAAATCAATACTTGCCACTTGCATAACCGTACCGAGGCAAACAAGTCGATGGGAGTTTTCCTGTTTGTTTGATGAACACTCACTGTTGTTCTTTATGCTGCAGATTCAATGTGGAGGCAGTCGAATAAAATACTCCGTTCCCTTCTTTTTGACCAAAGTCTATTGTTATGTGGAGATTTGTATGCACAATAAAATATGAGGGGTGGATGCAGGAATTTGGGGGGGGGCGGAGGTCAGGCTGGAAACTTTTTTTAATTTCTCATTAATTTTTTGCGGACAAGTGGATCTTATGATGAAACTTTAAAATGGTATTGGTGGGTGTTAGTTATTTTCTCATATTTTCCCCATGTTTTACCCTTTTTGGGGGCGTCTCAGAGCTGGGGGAGGGGGGGTTGATCCTCGAATCCCCCTTTAATCTGTGCCTGAATATGGTGCATTGTAAAATATAGCTCTGGCAGAAGAATTGATATTTCCAATCTTTTCTGATTTTACCTCGGAATCAAAAGTTGGACATATTTGAAGGTTCTTCTTTCATGGGATGTGTTGCTTTCTTTTCATTTGCCTCAAAATATTTATCTTCCCATTTCTGTATTCACTTCCTCTTTTTTGGTGACAAGCCTTTCGTTCCTTTGTTTCTTCAGGTTTTTGAAGACGTCAAGAAAGTTTTCAAAGCTGAAGGTGAGTTGAATATTGAGCACACAATAAGTACGTCCGGCTGAACTGGTGGGCAAGGTCGGGTGGAGCTGTGATTTTGGGGTTGTCACATACTTGCCCTGGCTCAGGTTCTGCATATTTTGAAGACAGGAGGACCAGGCAAACTTCTCTTTGATGTCGGCATAACAGAAAAGAGAGATGCTCTTGACTTCAGCTTTCTAGAAGATGATTTTGCCTCTTTTGAATGTTCAAACCCGAACCTTTGGTGTTTTTGTCAAGAACTTTTGAAAACTTCCATAAATCACTGGCTCAATTTGTACACTTTAACGTCCGAGAGGCCTCGATTCTCATGTGAATAACTATTGCAGGGCTCTAACTCCCTGAATCCTATGAAATCTGTCAAAACCCCTGACTTTGAAGGACACAGGTGACCGGTGTTCACCAGACTGCATGTACTTAACGATTCTTTTATTTTGCTCTCTATTCCCATTTTTCATTTTGCAGGATTTTGAAGATGCTCTTGGCCGATCATGCCCCAGAATCTTTTATTTTTATACATTCTACCAGTTCTCTCCAATCGATACTGCGTGAACTATTTAAGTCTGCATCTTATAGACATAAAGTGTATTTGTAGTGTGTGCATGATTTACTAATGAATTTGGTACGAAGAACTTTCCCCGCAAAAAAAAACAAAGAAGCTTTCCGAAGTTTGATGATTCCATATTAGGTTGTGGGTATTGTTATTGATGAAGTTCTTGGCCTGCTAAATAACAGCTTAACAAATGGTAGGCTTAACACCATCTTGTGGAAAAAGAGAGGGCACCCCCCAAATAAAATTCCCTCTTCCCCTCCAAAAATGTCTGTATCTCTTCGGGAGTGAAATGAAAATCAAGTCAAATTTCAGATATTCTGGAGTGTGCGCTAGACTTTTTTCTTTCTAGATAAGCCGTGACTACTCAGGTTTTGTCTTTCAGAAATGCGAGGACCAAAATTTCAGGTGCAACAATTTCTGGATCTTGGGGTTCGCAGCGCAAATTTCTTTGATTTCCGGACACTTCATTCAGTCCCGTAGCAAAGTTTTCACAAACTTTCTCACTAGTTGTAAAAAAACATGACGAAATTTGAGTGCCATGTACTTATGTCAGTCTTTGCACTGCAAAACAAATAATGGTACGACTGATGCAGTTGTTTTGTGTTGAGTTAAAGCCGGTTCGTACTATAGGCGCAAGGAATTTGACATCACAGAAGATTTACAGCGAGATTTTGCTCGAGTTGAAGTGTGTCCAACTTTTGCAAATTTGCAGGGCTTCTATTTGATCTGACGTCTCAAATTGTTGCATTTTTATTTGCTTTCGCATGAAGGATGAACTGGAAAGTATACATCGGGTAGTGGATGACAGAAATTGACACTGAGAAACTTGTTTGTAAAATCGTTTAGAAATTGACAATGGTGTATGCATTATCTTCCTGACAACCAGCCTATTAAACTTCGGACATCACCACCGTTTACGGCTTGTGTCCAGAATTTGAATTGATGAATTTAGTAAATGGTTTCTTAGGTACTGTGTTTATTGTATGTCTACAGTCAAGTATGCTGTCAGTGGGTGCAATCAGGAGACCATTTTGTTCATTTTTGAGAACATTTTAGTAGTTTTGTATAAATGAAACTCTCAACATGGTCCACTTTACATTAGGCATGTATACCTTTCATGTATATGTAGCTTACGTACGGGAGTTTTCAAACTATTTTTTGATTACTTTTTATCACGTTTATATCGTAGTGAACTCGTAGCAGGTTTTTCATCGGTTTTTAAGGGATGGAATTTGTAGTATTTTTGTTCAGATGTGATGAAGTTCAGAGGCTCTCTAATCAAGTGCCTGTTTACATGTCATTTGCATGCAGGTAGGTTGTATATGTATATTGTAAAAATGACACCAGGATCATTTCTCTACCACATGAGATTACACCGCATACGTATTCATGATTCAAATGCACTTCTTTTATTGGTGAACATTCGGAAGTAACGCTTCCGCACGGGGCTCAATGGGGTACAGATAAGAGGAGCTCGGGCCAAGACTGGTTTCGTACAAAATATGGACTCGGTAACCGTAATGCTTGCAAGCTTTGTTTGCAGGACAGGTTAAACTAACTGACGAGGGAAGCTAGGAGTCCATGTTAACAGAGAGACTGGATTTTGTCAGGGTAAAAGATTTCATATGATACCATTGCACATCTGGTTATTATTATTAATTATTTCTAGTAATGACACTGAGGATTCCTCAAAAGCGCCATAGGCACTGTAGCTCGTAAGCCTGAAGAAAACCCGTTGAGAGGAGACAGTGAGAAGCAGTTACAGTTTTTGAGGTGGGAGGAAAACCCCAGAGAATTATTCTGGATAAAACCCACAGAATCAGGTAGGGACTGAAAACCCAATCCACATGTGGACCGGGCTGGGATTCGAACCCGGGCCGCAGAGGTGGAAGGCGAGGAAAGAACCACTATGCCAACCTGACTCCTAGGTATTACAATTAATACACAGAGAGTAAAAATGAAGTTGCAAGATTTTTGAACCATGTAATCATTTTAATAACGGAGCAGTACTGTAAGCACCCGCCAATAAATCAAGTGAAACAGATTCGTTGAATTTTGCACGTCAAAATTCTTTCATGGGGTACGATAAGAGACATGAACTGTGACAGGGTACGCCAGTATCAGCTCACGTTCCTGTAATATGACCACCTCTATGAGAAGAAAAAATAATATGTAGCAAAACACAATCAGCCCTTCCATTCACTCACTGTGCGTGACTCCAACTTCAATCTGATTCAGTGCCTACTGTCTACTTGAATAAAAGATGTTAACAAAAATACCGAAAGTGTGTTCTTAAAAGTGGGACGTGTGGGGGGATGACTTGCCCGACCCATGGAAATTTGAAAAAGTGGGGGTGCTTACACTAAATGACATTGGGGGGGGGGTTTTGTTCATGATAGAGTTGCTTGTCTGTAATACGTCTTACATTCCTGCAGAACCTTGTATCAAAACAGCAGATTTATGGATTTTTAAAACTGTTCTCCCTTTTATGAGTGCTACTGAGTACATTTTGGTTGTTGGTAAGTCTGAAAAATTCTTCCGCCCAAATTATTTCCTCCCCGTGAGCAAGCGGGGGGAGATTCAATAGCCCCTCCCCCAGTAACAAAGTGGAGAAGATGTACACCCTCCAACCCCCCATGATTTACATGTATGGTAACCAACATTCCTTTCATACAGTCCATCTGCTATTAGTAGTAACTTGTTATAACCAGTGAAGTGTCTGTGAAGTACCCGACTTCAACACCATGCGCTAGAATTGTGAATTGCTTCTGTTGTCTGCTAACTGGATGCCTGGGCCCTGTCCTACTTCTTGGACGTGGTCCGCTTGTGCTTTGGCGTCGTGGCCGTCTTCCGGAAGAATGTCAGCTTCTCGCTGCCCTTGGCGTCCTCCGGCCGTATGGTGTGGAACACCTCATCCAGGGTGTCCATCTTGTAGGTCTCGGTGAGCCGGCGTTCCTCCCGGCCCTGGACTGCCTCCTTGCGTTGCTGGAACTTCACGGCTAGCTGCTTCTTGAGGATGCGCCGTTGCTGGGGGTCGGGAAGGAAATAAATGCAAGCACTGAATTTATCATCGTAAGTCCCTTGGTCAATACTTTTTTAAATTCAAAGTGGCTTGTTTCTTCCAAACAAATGATGTGATTGCTTAGGAATGCGACTCTTTTGCAAACCAAAAATGAACCTGTCCTGAGTTCATAGAAATTATTGCTGGGAACATTCCTAAATCCTCCAAAATGCAAGAAACCCAATGATGCATTCTTGAGCGCGAACTTTCGAGGGGCAATCAAGCCCCATGTAAAGTTAAAATGGTTGGGTTCTATCTTTCTCAATCTGAATTAATACCTGGTTCATTTTAAGGATAAAAGCCCCTGGGTGGGTGGTGGGTCGTGGATTATAACCCCTGAGCTGACACAGGCAATGGGCATAAAAGGACATGACTGCCAGCTGGATTCGAACCACGGACCCTCTGATCAAGACGCGCAGAGCCTCAACACTGTGTAATGCTAACCAACATCCTTAAAATGTCAAAACTCCTATGCTTTATAGTAGTTTATCCTCTCCTACCTCGTTTGGTGACACGTATTTCGGGTTTTCATACAATGTTGGGCCTCCAATGCTGCCCTTGAAGATCCGGATAAGATTGAGGCAAAAGCGTGGGCCGATCTCCACCAACGATCCATCCTCTTCCAAAATCTTCAAATATAAACCAGGAAATCTTGGGTTTGTCGTAACAGTTGGAGAAGTCGACATTAACGTCCAGTGTCTCAGTAACCATGAACCTCCCTGGTTACCATAATTAAAAGAATGGATCCAACCACCCTTTACCTTTCCGATTCCTTTCGAAGACAAATGCTGTTTTGATGACTGGAAAGTCTTTGCCATGCTAAAAATGATTAACGACTAGCAGACGAAAGCTGGTTGACCTCTTGAAGTTGGTGAATGTAGTTACTCATTGGTCATTTCTGACAAAAAAATTCATAAAGTGAAATAAAAACCATTTGCGTCAATAAATTTTCAACACTTTTAGTCTCACCTGGTAGTTTCGGAACCAGATCCTGTTGTCAAGGACGGAGAACGTGTAGATGTGGTCGAAAAATGGCTGGCTCTTGGGGTGAAGATTAGGAGTGCTGAATATCTGCCGTGCAAAAGATGTCAGAATGTTGCAACTTCATCGGTAAGACTCACAGAAAAGAAACCGTCAATTGACACAAAGTTCAGAGTGGCTGGCAGAATTTTTTTGGTCCTTGATAAAATTTGTTCTTTTTTTTTCATCCTGCATATCTTTTTTTTTTTTTAATATGCATAGTAAATTACTTCTTACTGAATATTCACTGGCAAGAATTCACGGGTCAAAGTTTCTTTACACTGTGAAACCAGATTTTCAGTATATATGTAATGTGTGTTGCATTTTGTGGCCCTATTGTATGACTCTACTGAATGATGTCTGGCAGAAATTGAACGTGAAATTGGAATAGTTGTACATTTATTATCATTTGGAATAGAAGTGGTAATTTAAGAACACTGAGGTTTGAATTGTTGAACACTGTTATCAAGGAAATTCTCCTTTTTTTTTTTCAATTCAGCACCCTGGACGAAAGTTGGTCAGCAGAAAATCTGTGTGCTTGGTGACGTCATGAAATTTGATCTGAGCTTGAATTATCTCTGGCGTGCCGCTGACCTGAATAAACAACTCTTTGAGTAGCTGATAGTGCGGTTCCTCGTCAAACTCCTTCCCGAATGATAAGATCGGTCTGGCGCCCCGTAGACAGTTGCCCGTCAGTTTCAGCTCACTCATGGTGTGTACTAAACAACAGTGAAGGGAATCCTGTCCATTATTGCAGGTCATTGAAATCACAACAGAGATAATCAAATTCTCTAATTATCACACACCACTGTTTCAAAAATCAAACAGTTGCTTAAATCTGTCTGATGTATCTCCTACACATCTGCTTGACAAAAAGCTACGGACCATTCCAAGACAGTTGTTAAAACATTTGCCCATAACCCTAACACGCCTGGGTCCTTTAAAATCCACCAGATTTATAGAGAATTACCAGGATTGGGATAGGTACTGCCTCGTCAAAACTGCTTAAAATGGGACCCAATACTCCTTGGAAACTTCAGAAGTACAAAGATCTGCAACTAAGTTCCTGCATGCTGTTTAATTTTTTTTCAGATTCCGGAGATTACTTGTTAAAAAAAACAGAGACAGTGATCGAAAACAAAACCTGGACTCACGATTTTCTATCAAAAATTTGGCTGAGGGTCCGTGTGGAACATTGGAACACCTAGATACATGGAAAAGATCAAGTTAGTTAATAAATTTCAACCTGTATGGCAACCGTACAGTTACATAGGTCCTTCAAAATGGCAGTTGCACGGCAGTCAACTGTGCAAAAAGTCTTGGTTTTTGACAATTTTGCTGAATATTCAATAGTTGGCAGGATACGTCTGTCATTAATAAGGAGCTTCTTGATTGGGCAGTGACCATGTGACTACGTTTGTCTGTGACGTCAATCTACAGTGATCTCTATTGCTAAAACTGGTTGCAAGCTCGTCAGGGAGAATTAGCAAATTACATTTCTTTGTTGTGATGAAGTTCACAGGTTTTGTGCGCATTCTGGGGAAAATGACTGTGCCTCAGATACACAAACCATGGACTGCACCAAAAAAAAAAACAGCAAGCATGTAATGGACCCAATGTTATGGTGAAGTCAAGTTATCCAGTATGACAGAGCTAATGTTTTTTTCATAATTTTGAAATAAAACACGAAGAAAGTTCCTGGTGCCATTTCTCTAAATTTGTTTTCGTCTTTGGTTTTTCGCTCACCACATGAAAAGATCCTTCTTCTTGCGACACTCGAAGAAGATGCACTTGTTGCAATTCTTCATGTCGCATATCTGCTTCACAAAAGTTCAAGAGAAGACATTCAGAGCCTTAGTAAATAATGTAGGAGGAGGGGAGGGGCAAGGGGTGGAGCTACTGAGAGGGGATGGGGGTAGCCTTGACCACAGCCCCACGTTTTGAACAGAATCTGGAGAGTTAGCATTGAGAAACCTTGCATAGTCAAGCTGATTTTAATAGCTCACCTCATTAATTTGGGACATACCAGCTCGGGCGTTCATTTTCACATCTGAAAGTAAAACAAAAAGAAGCTGCGTCAACCTTGAATTTGATTCAACTTCAGATGATTTGCTCCCAACAATTGGCGATTTTAAACTTGTCTCTGAATGAGCTGCTAACCAATGGCACTTTACTGCTTCCTCAGCCTGAGACCTTAAGACTCTACCTTTCTCAGCATACAGCTATCTGAGTATCTGAGTCCCAGACTTCATTGGATTGAGTTTTGTACCAACCTTCTTTGGAGTGTGGCATCAGAGTTCGCAGGTCAAGCATAAGGTGGCGACCTCGGTAGGACACGCCCCTCGCTGCAAACACCAGCACCCTCTGTTTGTTTATCCAGGCATTCTACATAAACAGAAGTTGAAAAAAAAAGTCAACAACTGTGGCACCGACTGGTCAGTCGTGCAGGAAATCTCAGACTTGAGTTTCTGTTTGAAAAACTGTCAACACCCAAAATGTTATCAACTATCATCAATTTACAGTTTAACAATTGGTGGCTACAATAGATTAACCACAAGTGCAGTGTGAAAGAAAAAATCATCATATCAGGTGTGTTTGCTGCCCGTTCTGTAGTCCCTTGACATGCTTGAAATTTGGGGACAAGCCGTGCGTCGCTACGCCGCGCAACTGATGCAACGGCATACTGGCTAGGCCTTCAGTTACTTTAATACGTTACTTTACAGCAGGCAACGTTAGGCCTAGGCTTAGCCAGCATGACAAGCTGAAAAGGCTCGCACTCGTCACGTCGCTATGCGGGAAGCAAGTACTATGTGACCTAACAACATGACATGCACTACTACAGTACAAGTACATGTGCATGTACAACGGTTACATACAACGCCAACATGGTCAACGTACCGACAGCTGAACACTTTTCCCCGACGTTTTGTTTGTCTCATCGGCAGCCTGCTTTGTTTTCCTTCGTCTCTTGTGTCTATTCAAAATTTCTTGAGCTTTTCGCTTCACCATTTTGAATTCTCATCAAAATCAATGGCGCTCACGACAGAAATTTATGAGTTCCCACCTCGCTGGGGATACTCAACCCTGACAAACGTAAATGCACGTGTCGCAATTTTTCTATAGCTTGGCATGGAACGGTTACCCACCGCATCTGTGGATAGCCCCATTCATTTTAAGCCGGCTTGAAGAACCAGTTTATTTGACGCCAACATAGACTTGCTAAAATGTCCTTCCTCATTCACAGTGATCTCTGAACTTAACAGCTTGACTTCGAAAGTTTCTTTTTGAAGCTATCGTAAGTTAGTTGTGACAACCCCTAATTTCACCGTAAAAACCTTCAAATTACGGTAAACATGGAACGTTCATAAGGGCTCATTTTTAAAAGCTAGCCAATAACATACTGCTTTTGAAAAGTTCCTCTGAAAAGGTGGAATGACTGTGGATAGTGGTAGTGAGGCTGCACTTGCAAATCATCCCTAAGGGATCCTTACAGTAATACTGAGCTTACAGATACTAGCAACCTAATTAAAAGTGAGAGATTAATTTGTGTCACAAAATGCCGCTGTCTAGCTAAATTCATGTTGATTTCATGCAATCACCTTCAAAAGTGAGCAGGATAAGTGGACATGAAAAGGTGAAGAATTACAGTCAGGGCACCAAGGGGGGGGGGGGAGTGGCCCCTTTTTTCAAATTTCTTTGATTCTCATCTCCGACCCGCCTTATTTTAGTGCCCGACTCTGTGTGTAATTTATTACCAAGGAAACATACAATTTATGATAGTTTCTAACATTTTCTGGAACAAGAAAGCTGAGAAGAGCCCAAATGTTCGTTTCAAGTTCAGTGACTGTTTCGAATTCCATATCAGAATTACTAGTTAACAGACTTGGCGGCGAGTCTAAGATCTTTGCGGCTTAACTGAACATCCGGGAGATATGCAACCTTGTTAAGGTTCATGATATCCCATAATAATCGCCAAGATGGCCGAGGTGAGTTAGTTGGGAATTTGTGAAACTTGGTCGAATTTTTTGTGTATTTTCGACTCCTTTTTTGAAAAAAAATTATTAGTTTTCTTTACTTGGTACGTTTGTGAAATAGAGAACCACTTCTTGTGTTGAGAATGGTTGGATGTCTGTCATGTTTTATCCAAAATTAAAGAGAACTGTCTAAGTTCCGTGCTTACGAAATGCGGGGAGCGGAGTTGCGACTGCGCGCGTATTGCACTTGCCATTACGATCGCCTATGCCCAAAGTTAATGAGGGCCAAGGGAAGGCCGAATGTTATTATTAGTGCAATCGATTTAGTTCGCGGACGTGCCTGTGTTGACATATTCGCAATGAACGAAGACAATTCTGGTGTATTGTAACTGTAATGATAGTTTGGGTTAATTTAGCCTAGCTTAGCTAGCCTAGCTAGGCGTGCTAGGAGTTGGAGCCCTCGGTCCCTATTTGTGGTTGAATGAATTGAAAACAAGTAGGCCTAGGTCTAGGAGCTAGCGCTAGGCCTAGCCCTAGGGCTAAACATGTCATGGTAAAGTAGGCTACTGAGTATTAGCCGGGCCTAACTTTAGCCACACATGGCTTGAAGATGATTTGTGTTCTTTTGGCTGTGTCTAACGGAACTAGCAATGTCTGTCAGTGTTTTTCAGCTTGGACATGTTGGAATGGATGAATGATCAATAGGCCCCCTGATTTTTTTCATGTCAACTATTATTAATCAATTTGATATTATGATGTTAAATTGTTTTTTAAGCAAAATTGGAAACTTGTCCCCTCCCCTTTTTAAGAAAGTGTAAAAAAGTTTCATATACAGACATCACTTATTTTAACCATCAGAAAGCAACCTGTGTCCTGAAAAGTCAAACTTAACAGGGAAAATTATTAAAGCATTTAGGCCCACTTAGAAACCCTGGGTTTCGTTTTTTCAGACCAGTCTCATACATGGACGCCACTTGACACCCTGTGCGCAAACATGACAAACCTAGTATGAGACTGGGCTGAAAAATTTGAAGTTTTTTTTTTGGTGAATACCTCAAGATTTTCCCTGCAAAATTTGACTATTTAGGTCATATTATTGCTTTCATATAGGTCAGAGGTTACTGTAGGAAAAATGAGTGGCGTCCGTGTATGAAATTCTTTTCGAACTTTTCCATAAAGTTTGTGTTTCCCATTTTTTTTTGGAACCACTTCAGCATTTGTTCATATGAACCTGGCATGGTGCCCACATTATGCAGAAAAAATTGGGTTGGGGCTGACATGTTTTTCTGTGTCTCGCTGAATGACTGCTTGACCCAGTAGTTCATCACACTGGGTTAGTTTTTCTCTCCCTCGTAGCTCGTCCCTTTTTGAAGTTGTTTGTCACTCTCTCAGAAAAGTAGTCACAGTTATATAGGTCTGAATCACTTCTCATGAATTCATATTAAATCACAACGTCAGTGGAGCCAGATGAAGAGAAGTTGTAAGTTTATTTCCTGAAGCAACAATGTAAAGTTGAATTTGGTACTCAAATTAGTCTTTATGTTTCCTTTTGCAGCCAGCTACGAGTGACTCCAGTCCGGGTGAGTGCTTAGTTGTTATTGCTTTTTAACCACCAATAGCAGTCAGTGTTCTCCACGGTCGAAAAATTTTGGCAGGGCGGTAGACAAAATTGCGAGCGCGAAGCCCTTACGGTGTGGGGTCCGGGGCCCGCTTTGGATTTTGGATTATAGAGGCTCTGTGGTGCTTTCTGGGGCAGTTTCCAGTCTACTTTCGTCTGTAATTTGGCCCCAAATCTGATTGCATTTACAACATGAAATCTTGGCTAGAATATTCTTCAGGAGGAATTTCTTCATCGAAAGATTTGATGATGAAATTATTATAATTTCCGGAGCATTTTTAGCAAAACCTTAGTCATGTTAGTGACTCGAGACATGCTTGAGATGAGCACAGCATGTGGTTTTCTCAATGATCAGTTGACTGTGAAAAGGTAGAGTAAAAACAAGCCTCAAAATGCGCCCTTGAATAAAAAAGGACTAAAGAAATATGTTCAGGCAAAGATAAGTTTACAATTTCCAGCTCACGTCATAAAAATGAAGCAACCCCTCCATCGGAGCAGAGCGTGGGGGCCGCTCAGGCGTGGCAAGGTCCTTCCACTGGCACCCGCACACAATCCGCAAAACAATGTTGTGCCGCGGGTACCAGTCACATGCACTGCATGTACATGTTCACGCTTGCGCAATACAATGTACGTGTACATGTACAAAACATACGTGATGGTTTTTCGGGACACGAGGTTGACTATGCGTAACGGTAGGCAGCCAACAATCACCTGAGATCTGAGATCCGAATCATTCATTGGGCTTTGGCTTTAAATTACACGTTGACGAATTGGGAACTGGCTGCGGCCTCTCTACATAGACTCGCTCGTAACATCAGGCCGTAGCCAAGTTATTTGGACCTAGCCTAGTTTCCGAAAAATACACCCTCTTGCGTTAAGGAATTTCTACTTT